AGAGACGCAGAGCACAAAAGGACGCTGGCACCCCCCCAACTACATTTTCACCCACCATATTTTTTGTTGGCTGCCTTTTTTTGATTAATTTTGGTTGTTTTTTCTCTGTTTGTGTGGTTTAGACTGACTACCGTGCGTTTTGGCTTCCGTGTGCAAAGCAACAGCTTGCTCATTCCACGATCTCGAGGATCAAGACCGGGATTTTTTTTCTGGGATTTTTACGAAGGATGGACCTATTAGCCACAAGAATAGCCTAAGGGACGTTGCCTTGTCGAAAAACAGTCAAGATAGAGCCTCAAAAGCGACCCACTCAATGTACACACTCAAGGCGGGCGAGTTGTCAAGCGTTGTAAAATCCGTAGAGGTTACAGCATTCGCACTGGGACCCACACCTTGCACGCGCGCAGCTGTATACAGTGGCGCGCGCGTTCAAATCATTTTAATATTCATGTCCATTCCCTAATTTCCCTCCTTTTCTTAGGCCTTATAGCCTCTTGATACGGCGATTTTCGCGTTTCCTCCGCCACTTTTGCTCTTTTATGAACTATTACATTTATTACTCGTCTAAAACTAGATAAACCAAAATTACTGTGAACTGTGCCTCTAAAATGAGTGGAGCATGAAAGAGGGTGGGTTACGGATCAATCAACTAAAAACACGGTTCATGAAGAATGCTCGGTTTGATGAAGGTGGAAACAATATGACGCATGGACAGCCTTTTTCCTTTGAAAGAAACTAGCAACCACCTGGCTGATCGAAAACTTCGCATTTCTTCGATTCTACAATTCTGCCTGCGCTATGTTACACTGACGAGACATGGTTGTCTTTTGCATCTACGTCTAGGACCTTGACTGTAGCTAACAGAGGCTCGAGCGCTCCTTTGAGATTTGGTCGATTTACTAAATATCCAGACTTTGCTGCTCAAAGTTACGCAGAATGTCTCACCCCCGTGATCCCGTGCAGTTTATGACAAACGAGAAGCTACGATGGGACGTTCATATCATGAAGCGAGTCGATGACAGATGAACAAGAAGCACTGAAGAGTGGGCTCTTGTAGGATCTCCGCAATCCAAGGTGGAGCGATGCAATTGCCAATCACAAGGAGCTGCTGCGAATTCTGATGAATGGTTCTTCAGACCCCTGTCTCCAACGCTTTTACAACAACCATGGATGGTGATCGGGAAAGGATGAAACGAATGGCTTGTCACCGGTGCTCTCAAGCGTAATGCGGGTGACCCGTATAAGTGCATAAGTTGATGAGAAAGTCAACTAGTCTATAATATCGAAAGACACAGTTTCTGATACTAATGGCTTCTAAGAATTCCCTTCTAGAATGAACTTGTGACCTTCAAGGATAACACAAGAGCCGCTATTAGGTTCCCTGTACTATCCTCGAGTCGTAAAAAGACCTAGAAAGGGCCTAATAGGTTCCTCAAAACCGGCTACGGACAGTTCTTACGGTGTTCCAGAGGCTGTAGTGGTTGCAGCAATCCCACCAGACTCACGATAAACATGCAATCAGCTAATCGCTGGGGTGAAGGCACGTTTTAACCTTACTCTGGTGGTCTCTAGTAATCTTTTTTGATGCTAGAATATTATTTCTAGTTTACTAGTTGCAGGGAAAGGTGGGTTATTTTGGTGTTTGTGTTTTTGTAATACTATATGCTAGTTGACTTTGAGTGTCTCTATCTAACAGCAATTTCTTTCGTTCGGTCTCTTTGAATGGTCTTGTCAGATGCCAAGAATACTTGTGGACTCCCATAGAGGCATACCTATACAAACTACTTGAAATCCTCGAACAATTTCATACTCTGTAGTTCATAAGGAAATCCTGTCAGAGTAATGTATGGTAAAATTTGGCATGTAGTTCTCAGCTTGTTTCATTTGGATACATTCTGAAATTTCCAGATGACCAAGAAGCTTTGAGGTAAAAACATTTTCATATATAAATAGTTTATTGAACAATATGCTCTACAGTTGAATTTTTATTGATACTTTTTAGTAGAGTCCATTATATTCATGCAAGAAAGAGACATATAAATACAATTACTGGAATGACGAGTATTTCAAGTAGAAGACGTAAATTGTATGGAATGAATAAGTTTCATTAGTGACGGCAGAGATTTTCAAGTTCAACAACTACAGTAATACTTGTGTTTTTCCCGAAAAATAGACTAAAAGCAACGGCAAATCAAATTCTGACCCCCTACTGACGACAAACCTACAGTAAGCTCTGGTTTGTGTAGCATGAAGTTCAGTCAAGGAAAATGGATCATCAACGTCGTCAGGTGAATTCAGAGGTGAAACACGTAGTAGATATGTGACAATAAGTAAGTGGTCAACAATAAGTAGACGTTCAACAGATAAATGAAGAGAACATTGTTTTAAAGCAAAGCGAAGGAGATGCCGGCATTTGATGTATTTGGGAATGTGTTTGTTTCATTGTAATAGTGATTCCGTCTTATTTCTTTTTGTCTGACTTTTTCGTTCCTTTCACTGATTTCATGAAAAGTGGGAGCTTCAGCTCCGTGAACGATCGCTTGTGTCTGAAAATACAACTCTTCGAGAATTTGTAATAACCAGCTGATTTTGAACTAGTTAAGAGAGATCTCGAATAATGAAATGTTACTGATGAACATTTGAAGCAGCAGTATCTCGTATGTTATCATGGATGTGTATCGGATTTTATTAGTAAAGCCTAAGGAATAGAGACTTTGAGCGTCGATCAATCCCCTCTGAGGGGTGCGTCCCCGCATTTTACGTCCTTCAGAGTCGTGGTGGCGTATTCAGTGTGTACGTGGTCTCTAAAATGAACTGCGTTGGCCAGCCGATGCACAAATCAGTGCTTTTATCCTCCCGGGAGAATCTGGACTGTGTTACCCAATGAGAAACCTTGGGACGATGATAGGCTTGCTAAGCCTAGATGAATACTGATCCCTGGTCCGAGCCCATGAAAATGCGTGTGTGATAGTGCACCACCTACCACTGCGCCACCCTTCTTTTACTTATACTTCCATTTGCATACAGAGTAGTCAATCCACTAAGTGGACCCTATTCAAGAGGAAGTGCGTTCCATGACGCCATTTTTTCGAGCAGCCCTGAGACGCCGTAGCTTCTACAAGCTCCTAGATGAAAAAATCCATTATAACTACTATAAGCAACTGGCTGCCTCTGGAGGTTCAGCAGGGACGATCTAGACGCGCGACTTATTGCCATTGCTGGTATAAAATGAGATTCAAGGATGTTCCACGAGCTATATGATGAATTCCCATCATGTTGTTTTGTACAATTGAGCAAACGTTAACAATTCGCAGGTGTGAATGGTATAGGAGGCAATAATACAATGGAAAGGCGGAATGTGTACTAGTTTCTCTCCGCATTCGATTTTTTCAATAATGGTGAGGTATTTGGTTGCAGGGATGAGCGAAAAGTGACATTTGAAGATTTTGTTCTGTAATTCATCATTGTAGTGCTTTGACTGGTCGTTTATACTCAGCGGATGGCACAGAGAACAGAGGTCCCGTTCACTTTTACACAGATAGAAATCAGGAGAGACCTCATTCTCTTGGCTATACCGCTAGAGCCAGACCTTGGGAGGATAGGAAAGATTGGTTTGAAGCGCCACCGCTGGCTTTCCCAAATGATCGCCCATACAGAATTCGTATCAAAGTGCCCCTATGACTATGAAGGGAAGGCAGAAGCATCAAAAGCCTGCAGAAGATTGATCCGCTCCCACCATCGTGGCCGTTTACACTCTCAAGTTGTTGCCATGAATGGATCTGTAGAGGTGCTTTTGGCCGCTTGCATGCCAATGTTTGCTTAGTGTTGAGACGTCGACAATTTTGATAGGAACCCGTGATGAATCACATCGAACAAGAACTGAATAGCCAAACATTGAATTCACTCACTTTGGTACGCTTGGTTCGGCTTCATCCAAATGCACTTTGACACTTTCGACTCGATGAGGAGATACGAGTGAGTACGTAGATCGATACAAGGATTTGTCTGAAGACATCGACTCAGGGATTCCTGTTTTGATTTCACAGTTTATATCTCTACTTGAGTGGTTTGTAAGAAATTCTTAATCCTCACCTTTTACATTGAGCTTTTCTAATTCCGATTCCAAGGTTTTGTATGATTCAACGGGACTTTGGATTTCATCTTCAAAACGATTCACGAAGGAGCGTAAGATCAACTCTTCCCATAGTTTGTTCGGCTCTGCTTTCTGGAAACATGAATATTGTTCTCGGTAGGCATGTCGCAATCTTAGTAGAATGGTATGGAAAGGCGAGATACCTTGTTTCTTTGCAAATATTGAGGGTTGACTCGATGTCATGTTGCAAAAATTGACAGTAAATAGACGTAGGCTGGTCGGTAACATAACTGTGCCCATTTAAGACGTCCCNCCCGCCTCTCCCTGTTCGATTTACAGGAATGAGACTTTACATGGAGGCGAAGGAATGAGCTTCGAGTATCACAATGGAATTGATGATTGTCCAAGAAGTCGTCAATCTCAACTACAATCGTGCGATAGACATAGCATCCGTAGAAGCTGCTGTAAGAGTCTACGAAAGAAAAGTTCAGTATTTGACCGTTCGGTGTGTCATTGTAGAAAAATTGGCTCAGACATTTCATAGTGACGAATTGATTGATAGAGGTTGATAACGAGTGATACGGTAGGAAAGAATCAGAATCTTCGAATGCTACAACAAGGAAAAGTCGTTTCAAATGGGTCGGAAAACTATACTGAATACTACTCCTTATAGGTGGACCGTTTCCCGAGATTTTCCGAGCCCGATCCTGAGAAGATCTGCTTCCATTATGTCTTACAATAAGTCTCCCACGTATGTATAGGCACGGAATGTTATTCAGGATTATAGAATAAACGATTTGTAAGAAGTGCATGTAGGAAGGTCTCGATTCGTTGACTATGGCACCGCGTAGATTGGGCTCATTTCAAAGGTGGCTGCCAAAAAAGCCTCGTGTTGGCTACAATTCTGTAGTATGCTCCCCGAAAAATGTTCCCTAGCTGTGCTTATCACCAGTACCCTCCCCTAATCCAGTACGGTTTGATTCTTATTTCCGTCCTCGAGGAATTGTGATCAAGAGCACGTGTCAACTGTGAAACGGCTCAGCATCATTGCTTTGTTCCTACACTGATAAGATGTTGACATGACTATTTTTCGAGACCCGAATAAATGCCATCGTTATTGGACTTCAGCCTTCGTGAATGTACACCCTGTATGGCTCTCGTGGGAAAGTCTGAGCTCAAGAGGAAATTTTCACAGCTAATATGGGCTCAGTCAAATGGAAATCAAAACCAATTGATGTCCTTCGTTTAGGAGAATGGGATAGGAATGATTCCTTTGATCGAAAGGAAAATCTGTAAGAGCACTTATGAAATCTCACCTCAACTAAAACACCGTCAGTCATTTTTCTTCCATCTTTAGAGTATGTCACTTTGTGTTTATGGCTCATGAACAGCGGTCGATATGATGGTGTTCGCTTTAAGGGAGGTCTCGAATCTGAAAGTAGTAAGTTAACTATAGTATGAGCACCAAGGCCGTGAAGACGTCATGAGAGCAGAGGAAGGCTCTCTTCTAAGGAGCCGATATCCGGCTCTAGGCATCCTCTAAACACCGCTCGAACTCTTATGTCTTCAAATTGACTGCAGATTCCAGCATGATAGATTTTGTTGGAAAAGTGGTATATTGGAAAACTATTTACCGTCATCGCAGGAGCTGCGTGGACTCTCATGAAAAGGAGCAGCAGCATAGAAGTCAATTGGCGAGTCGCATTGCACATTTACCATTCCAATCATTTTCTGAAGCATTGAAATGAGCATCTCAGTTTTTCCACCAAAATAATGTAAAAATGAGCTCCGCGAATCAAGAACAGGCAACGAGGGAGCATAATCAGTGGAAGAAAAAGGGGTGCAAGTTCAACGAAGAGAAGACCGAGATCAATGAAATCGAGAACTGCTCATCCCTTTGCTGTTTCTTCAGCTCAAGGAAACGTTTAAACCCTTTCTAACTTCCAATATAGTCGAAAAATGTAGCTCTAAGGAAAATGCTTCCTGGAACTCAGTATGAGAGAGTACCAACCTTCATGCGATGTTCTGTCAGTGGAAATGAGATGGCGAGGTCAGTGGAAAGATGAGAGCCAAGGAAAGAGAGCAGATTTTCGACTATGAGTAAATCTATAAGCCCAATCTTCGGACAATTCGGGTGCAGTTCAGAAAGGCTCTGTGTGAAGATGCCTCGCCTTTATGTCAGACCCTCGCTGATCGAGAACATTCCCCGAAACACTTTTGAAAGAGGGGATTAGCTGACATCAGCAGACTGAAATTTATTCGAAAATATGCACACGAGGGGNNNTCAGGGTGAGTAAAGGTATGAGCTAGGAGATAAGGCATGGCACAAATAGACATAAAAACATATACAAAACATGTTCTGCAGGAAGAAAACTGCCTCCTGATCGAGACCCATAGGAAATGTGCAAACCTCACAGGCCGAAGCTACATGCATGTTTGCAGGGGGCGGTCCTACGGTCGAACCCATTTTGTAGGGAAAAGGCGGGCAAAGGACGTCATTCGAGTGGAATTCCAAACAATGTGTGGGAGGTGTGATTGATAGTGAAAGCAGCACGAATGGCCACCTTCTCATGCCCGGCATCCAAAATAGTCCACTATGGCGGCTCATCAAAGCCACCTGTTCCCGAATCAGCCAAATTTGGCTGAATACGCCGGAAACCCATAAAACCAGGAATTTTCGCCGTGTTACCTACCTCGTGGGAGGCGAACTTTGAAGGTAACGTAGAATTGTGGGTCGGTGGACGGCATGGCTTTGTTTACCAGCATTGCTGTAATGCCACTGGAAGTAAAGATGCTTGAATGAGTTTTTGGAATGCGCCCAGCACCTCAGCTCAGTTCAAAAGCCGCGAGCTGTTTGAGTACTGGGATATACCGCTACTCCATGAGGCCATCTAGTTAACAGATCAGCCTTATATACTGTAAATCAGTACCATAGCCAAATCTAGGACGAGGTGTGTTTTGTTTGGAAGAAGTTCAATGAGCGAACGGCCCACATTCCTATCAATGCCCAAAAATGTAAGTGACGATGGGGTTCTTGGAATTTATTTGCATTACTCTGTCAGATTATTTCTTTCATAGTGCAAAACTGTCTGGCATTCGAATACAACATTCCAGTTTGTTGCCTCACACTCATACGTAATAAGAAATGTTTTCTAAATGAACACCACCCACTTTGCAATATCACTAATGTTCATTTTTGATGTTGCCCCTGACATGATTCTGTGCCAATGATTAGGGCAAACATGGGAAAGTGGATGATTTCTGAGGGGGAACATCAGAGAGAATAATCCCAACTAGCTAGCGGATAGATTTTTTGGAGTGTCTTAGCGCCTAGAACGACTGAAGTTCAACATTAGTTAAGCTTCGTTCTCGCATTGTCAGCTTTCTTTCTACTTCCATCCGAATCACCTGACTAGGATCAGCGCTAGGTGACTGCTATCAAGTTTCGTAGGCCCATCGCAGAAAGCATTGTTCAAGAAAGTTCGAGCGTTTTCTCGAGAAATACTCTTCATCGTATTTTCTATAGATGGGGAACTGTCAACAGAAAGGCATCCAATTCTATCAGAGAAGGATTCCCAGGTTAACGGGTCATCCAAAGCGACGGCCTATTAGCAGCTTTTAATCTCAGAGGCAATAAGGTGCTATTTCGATAGTCGAGTCCGTCGGCTCCTTCGATTGGAGACTACGCTGGGCTACTTCGTCAAATGTATTCGGACGAGATATACATTTTCCGTTTAAGTCATATACTTCGCGATCCTTTGAATGGGAATGAAAATTAACCTCCCTAAGGCCCAGTAGTCGAATATCTTCGACAAACCTTATTTTGAATCCTGCTTTCCAATGATACTTCAGATTTATTTATGGAACAACCGTCCAGCTGGGATCACTCCGTTGATATTTTCAATGGTTTGCTCCCCGCAGGTGTTAGCAGAAGATAATATGGTTTCCTATTTCTGAATGGGATAAAAAAAATTTGGAAAAAATTACTGTAATAAGCTTTATCAACTGTATGCCCTCACATCTTGAATACACTCCTACTTGGGCTGTCAGGACTGTTGTAGACATTATGCGAAAGCGACGGGACAATCAGTAACCGGAAACGGCTCGATGAATTCGTTGATCAACAAAATAACGCGAGTACAAGTCAACAAAGTGGTAGTGGTATTGTAAAACATATACGAGACCGTTTACCGTATGACTCAAGACATCGAAGGGATCATTTGGGGACCACGACTGATCCCTCCTTCCATAGCTCCGGTGCACAGAGATTAAAATTGTGAACGGGTGTCCCGAGTGAACACGATGGCGAACACAAACATCGTAGTGACAAATTCCACACCTTCGCGTATAGTGAGTCTCAGAAAAAATTGGGTTTTGTGAAAAACTAGATTGTCTAGATTTCTTTTGTGAACGATACAATTGGACAGCTAGTGCAAAGGGCTAATCGCTGCGAAGCAGGTCGACCGAAGAGCGAATACGTCTAGTGACGTGGCTCTAGCCAAAAAAATAGGTTTCGCAGATAGCCCTCCCGGCTAGAGGGACTTCGGCAAGACTCCAGAAAGGCAAAAGAGCCCATCTCCAAGATGACCTTCTGGTTTTGTTTTCTTCGCTACCATCCTTTCAAACCGGGTTTATTGACGGAGTGGGAAAAGATCAGAATGAATGACGCCTTCCCAAAATCTGTTCCTAACCTTCGTACTACTTAACATGAACATAGTGCTGTCGAAAATTGCCACATAATCTTGTAATTACACCTACCATTTTCTATTGGAACCTCGTTCACTTACAAAACCAGAGTGCTGGCAAAGAACGTCGCACTCTGACTCAAAGCAAGTTCTTTTTTTGGGCTTCTACCGTAACCAATCTATGTGGAGTCACTGTGAAAGACGAAAGTTTCGTTTCCGAACATACAAGGTTTCTGCCCCATTATTTTAATAAGTGTAAATGGGTTCTCATGGAGAAACCACAGTAGAAATTTCTGTTTTGCATGAAAAGTTCACAAAATTAAAGATGGGAGGTATCATGGGAGTCTAGAACAGAACTCGCCCGTCCACGGAGTCACAGAAGACCACGTGAACTAGAAAATCGTGATCAGGGGAATGCTGATTTACGAACAAATGTTAGACCTATCACTGTGTTCTCAAAAGACAAAACCTACATTCATCATCGCCGAACGCTGTGCTTATCCATTATACTACCAAGCGAGGTCTCTCGCCGCTTCCCCCAACTTGCATTGGTATTGTATATGCTAATCTAACTTATGTCACCTTTGTTTTCTATAGCCTTACCTCATATTGTCAAAGTCAACTGCTGTGTCGGTCGTTCAGTGGCAGCAGTTTATTGAGCCAAAGGCATCCTACAATATTTCCGAGCGCTTATATACGTTGATAAACATTACAGATGTTACAGGTGCTTTCACAGATGGTCAACTAGGAACAGCACATGTGATGGGATAAGAACTAGAGGAAAGTTACCGAGTGAGTATATGATGCTACAATAAGCGAACGATAAGAGATGGGAAAATAGAGGAGTCGTGGTTGACCACGACAACTGCTTTGCCGGTAACCCAGCATCCATAGGTATATATGTCTACAGCAGAAAGTACTAATAAAAGAAATAGCAGCTAACAGCCAAATTGGACCTGCACTACGGCCGGAGAAGAAACCTTCTGTGCCTTCCTTTCCACATAATATAAACCTTAGGAAATATAAAGGCTCTTCTCAAAAAATTTTATATGGCCATTCCTCTAAAACGAGACAGCCCGACTGTTTGCCCATCGCCATAAGTATGATTCCGTTTCCTGAGAAAGCTTCCATATTCCAGTGATTCATCGTCATCTATTCATCTGAAGAATGCCCCTTACTCACAGACTGTTTCATAGTGATTCTGGTCCCGAGTAATTGATCAAATCGAGGTAAACTTTGCGTCTAAAAGCAGAAAATCTTCGGCGTTAACCAGTTCCGCTTATGGAATGCGCCCCACATTCGACTTCCTATACGAATCGTGGTGGCGATTGCGTGTGTGGCCCACACAATAACAATGACCAGCCAATGAACAAGCCGGCGCTTTTATCCTCCCAAAAGCCTGGTACCTATTTATCGAGCCCGGAGGGATGGAAGGCTTGACTGGCCTGAACGAATATCGATCCCGTGATCATGCATACGTGGTAGTGTGCCACTTGCCCCGACACCAATTCGCTCTCACATAAAAGGACAATAAGAAATATCAACAGATCGACGTGTACAGCAGTTTTGTTAACAATACTTTATTGCCTGTCCCAAGCCAAATGCCCTTGGAAAGCAATCGTGGCAGAACGATAACGACAAAGCCTCCAGTATGACTCAGTTTCCGCACCTACCGGAGGTAATTCAACGGATAACACGACACGTTCTCTTTTCTTGTAAGACGACAGGTCCTATCGGTCGGCCGATTGCGATGACATCATGTCACCTCGCCTATCGTCCTAGATTGCGCCACTAAGCCCTACACTAATCCCTATACTTGCACATTGCACAATTTGGTGAAAGAGAACATTTCGTCATGTTCTAATCGGTTTTTAACTAAACGATGATGACAATTCCACAAATCACTATATGCTCGGGAAAAGCCACAACTTTATTTACATTTTCTCACACATTAGGTCAAATGTATCGAAGAGGTTAATACCAAGCGTTATGAACACAATGTTAAACGGTTTCACATCTAATACGATAAATAATTAACAGAACTCTCTTTTAATATTTAAAGTCGCCAACCCAAGAAGTTATGATATGCGAATGGATCCAATCAATTGCAAAATGTCCGGAAACAAATTAGCTTCCTGATTTCTGAAGTGCCGGAGAAGCAGCAGTAACATTGAGTGGGACTCCTTGGGTTTGTTCCTTCTCTTGACTGACATTCTGTTTCAGGTTGTTGGATTTAATGATTGCCTCCTTTTTTGGACCTTTTCCAATATCATTGGTGGTGTTTGGAGATCTGGTTGAGAGAATCTTCTCTACTTTTTCAGTTATTAGAACCTAAATTGAAGGAAACAGACACATGGTCAATTGCATACAAAAAAGTTGCCTAAAAGCCTTATAAGGAGCTCAGCGTCATACCTGGCTATTGCTGTTATCCATGCCGCTGTTATTAGCAGGTTTAATTTCTGGTGTGAGTACCGTCTTCTCAGACAGTGGATGAACTGCATCAAAGAAGTATACCTGAACGTGATAACTGGTAGAGTGGAGAGTTCGAAACCTAGCCTTTGAGCATACAAAAATATTTTTGGTTTTAACTGGAAAAGTATGATTTGCGCTTGTTCAGAAAATGCACGAACGAAAACTCTTGCACCAAAGCAAAATATTTGATTGCCACTACCATTGCAAAGCAATGTTATCAGCAAAGAAAAAAAAAACGGAAATAATAGAGAATCCAACAATTGTGATAAAATTTTGTTCTTCACTGACTACATCGACATTTTCAAAAGAAAGCTGATTGGAATTCAGAGAAAGCCGTTAGCTTAGATATGAAAACGATCCCTCCAATTGAAAAGGCCCACCTGCAGAAACGTTTTTCGAATCGCTTCCCTCTCAATAAAAGTTGTCTTAACATACAACTGTCGCATATGAATATACTAATTAATTGGAAAAACACTCTCCTTTCCTTCAGAATACAAAAAAAAATTGCGGAGGTCCCACTAGATGACTACTGTAATTGCAGCCAACTACTGCCGCGTACGTGCCTGGGACCGTAGGAACCGAGGTATAAAATGCATCACCCTACATTCATCCATCCATGTTCATCCAGTGTATAACACGGAATTTTTCAAAATCTCAAAATTTTCAGTCCAATTGTTGCCGGCGAAGATGTTTTTCTCGAAGAGTGGTGTAAATTGTTAAGTGAGAGAGATGACTGGAGAGGGTGGCTAGGTGCACTGAAATGCAGTCTGAAATGGCAAGTGTTGCACTGGAAGTCAATTGAGCGCCTTCATCGCTTCACTTCGTCTCAAAATAGTCGACTATTGCTCATATCCCTTTCTAGTCGTTCCGCGCTCAGCTCGCTCGGGCAATTTTTCCAAGTTGGGGATCACAGATCTAAAGATTCGTGTCGAAAATCGATCGCCCTCAATACTTGAGAAAAAACTAATTCTACTGGTGAGTCACTCAATATAAAGTAGCTTGTTCACCACAAGGTCAACACGAAAAGTGACTAATCGCCCGAGTAAATACAGTGCAGCAATTTTTGGCTCACGTCCAAACCAAACCACGAGCCAGACACTCTTGCAAAATAATTCGCAAGAGCTCCGAAAAATGTTGAGAACGGCAGACATATGACGAACTAACTAAGCGTATTAGATGGGCAAAGCGGTATGTAATCCAAGAGAAGAAATGAAGCTCATATGAAATTAAATAAATTCCTTGAGAGATATGACGAAGTACACCGAAACTTTTTAGATCACTTTAGCAGTAGTGTTTGCATCATCACATCAGAAAAAAGGGAATAAAAAGATAAATAAAGTAGAATAAGTGTTACGTAAGCAAGAATCATCTGATTGATCTTGAAAGCAGTTAATATGCTGGTTTGTAGAATAGCAGCTTCCCATTGCACTGCATGTGGAGCATTCAGAATCGTGCTTATTCAAACGCCGTCTTGGAAAACGAAACGAAAATTCATAAAGAATTCCACCAAGATCCCCGATATACGATACATCGGTTTTCGTACGTCGATTACCAATCTATATCGCATTTACAATCTGTGGTAGCTGGATTAAGCATCTAGACCACATGTGGGATACCAAGTTACATAAGATAAAATAGCCCCGAACATTTGATTTTACCTTGCCTAACTACATGACCGACCTGTCAAGGTTCGGACCGGGCGACAAAGTCATGGAAAGAGGAATGCACGTGATGAAAGCGCCTTATGGGGGTGGAAAAAAAACTCGCGATTGTCAAAGGCCGAACTCGTTCCAAGTTTTGCTTTTTTTCAAATGGGCTCTACATCAAGATCCTACTTGGCAATGGGAACATTGACAAATTCAACTTCATTTCAGTAAATCTGCAAAAACAGATCTCTAGACGACCTCGAAGTGAAACCTGCAAATTGTTCGGAATTTTTTAGGAAAGGCATTATGAGCCTTCCTTTCTGGTCGCGTGTTTGTAGCCAATAACACTCTAAGTGCTTACCTTGAACGTGAATGCTAGTAGGAAATGTAGCAGAATAACTCCAAAAATCGAACCATACGCAATCTGCAAAACTTTGCATTGGTCGAAAAATTGTCAACGAGACACTTTGTTGAAAAGCAATGGCATAAATCATTATTAGAAGCTGCTTTGTTTTCTCGTGAGAAGGCAAACTACATTTTTTGGCGTTCATGTAGAACCGCAGCAGTGAGCAAGGTACGAATAGATCAGAAGTGTTCTCATAACTCCGGTATGGGGCATGTTAGCTGAGTAAGCTGAGTGACCATCTTTCTTCTAGGTGTAGGGGTTTTGAGGAGAGGTAAAATTCAAGGAATACCTAGATTGGAAAAGTTCCCCCTTTTTCAGGCCTTCAAGCGGAAGCGGACAAAAAATAAGAGGCATTATGAAGTTAGACCGTCGTTACATAATCGGCAAATGGTTAGAAGTCAAAGTGCTAGAATCCTTTTTTCCCATTTCTCTTCACTGTTCACCCATAAATCAAAATTCCCACATTGCAACACGTATCACTTGCAAATAAAAAGCAGGGCAACCATATCATCTTTTGGCCACTCTTCTGTGGCTTCGAATGAAAAGGGTTTTGAAGTACTGTACAGAGTAAATAAACACCATCAGAAGCTATCCTGCCAGGCCCAGCCACTTGAGAACAAGATGATGTCATACTTCAAGACTCCCCCTTCTCTGTGCTAACAACATAGTGAATAAGCGTTCGAAAAAAACAGTGCAACAATGGTAAGACTTCTAGAGAGTTACTTGTATGCGCATGAATAGCACGAACAACAGGTATGATTCGAATGTTGACTCTGTTGACAGCAATGTATTTTTGAGTGAGGGACTTTCAAGGCCTGTTAATTTTATGACACCTTCTTCAGTTCCCCTGGACTACTTTGAGAACTCCCTCAGAACTGGAATGCCAGTGCATTAAACAAACAGGTTGCATAAAACTCATATTAAGCAATTCATAGTTATAGCCGTCGTTGGCTTCTCTGAACACGGCTTTCAGGACAAATGTACTGCTTTTCCCTGACTTCTGACTCGCAGTAGTTCCTTCATACCCGCATTTGAACTACATAGATTTTTCCTCGATAGAGCACAGTTAAATGCTGATGAGTGAGAATGGACAACCTATGATCCAAAAAAGTTAATCGAAAAGAGAACATCCCTTGTACAAGCTTAAAATTGAAGCAAGTGTTTGGAAATCTAATAAACTTGACAAAAAGTGAGCTACTTTTGAGTTTTGCGCATTATACATCACGTCATCAAACTACGTACTTTTATTCATAAGTTCGGCCTCAGATGCTCACTCAATTACAAATTTTAGGAGAGAAAAGAATTAAGGAGTCTAACTCTGACGCATACTAACACCATACAACGACAGCACTCTTCAGAAAATACCAGGGAAGCAGCCCATCACATCAAAACCACGGTTGAATGATGTACCACTTTTGATTTAATGAATCTTTGATTTCTTCCAAGCAATCCTACTTTTTTTATTTGACACCGTTTCTGAACCATCTCTACGAAGCATAAAGAGCCGGCTCATCAAGTCGTTGTGCCTTATATCATGACACCTTTATTTTGATATATAGTGACATAGGATTTGAACTGGGACCTACCAATTTGTTAGGATCAGATTTAAAAGCTGGCCAAAGAGCTCTCACTAGTACGGCACCACTAAGTGAGACCGCAGCAATAATCAAAAACCATCGGAACCAGTTGACATCCAGTGTCCAGAGTATCTAAAGAAAAAACATTGCATCTCCAACTATGGCTACAATTCAACATTTTTGATATCAATTTATTACAATAAAAAGCGTACCGACACAGGAATAAAAATGGACAAGCTGTAACCATACGCACACAGAAGATCAGATAGTGCATATTGTAACTCAGCTTTCCTTTGCCACAAAATGGTTGATAGAATAGCTGGCACCACCACAACGTACAGAAATACCAGTGTCGCAGATGATGTTACTAAACAGTCCAAATAGTCAAAGCTGCATTCAGTTCTTCAGCTAATTTACGTTCCTCTCTGTTTGTTTCTTCCCTGCTCAAGTACACGTAAAAAAGGGCGCGTCAAAAATTTGCACGAATAGCAATTTCTCCAGCAGGAAGTTAAGGAAAACACACAAAACTTTATGGAAAGTGTCAACTGCTCCGAAAAATTTGCAATTATGATAACTTCAAGCCACCTTAATTGTTCTAAAGTCAAATAATGACAGTCAAACTCTTTTTGACTGGCACCTCAAGCTGACCTAATCTGAAGTCGCTGCCGTATTCACCCGGAGAACCATCATTTTGAATATATTGCGCAATGTTCCCAAAAACACCAATTGAAAACACCAAAGTCACTGATATCCAAAATGGTCCTGAAAATTGAATAGTTTTGCCAGCTGCCGAATCACTCACTAGCAATTCAATGTATTGAGATAACGAATAGCACATAATTAGCGAACGTACCCCATAAGTCAGGCATAGGATGCACATAGTCCAGGATGAAATTACTATTGGTTGGCACTATGCTGTTTAAGACTCGCTTAAGTACCTAAAAAGCTGTTGATTTAATGTACAGTGAAGGCAGTCAGAGTAAGTGAGCATAACGAACATTGGAAATCGATATTGGATCAAATAAATTTTATGTGTTTCATGTGTATTTTGCACCCCCTTTCTGAGGGAAACGCAAGTGCAATCAAATGTTATATAAGACGTGATTCCACACACAGAAACTTCCCAGCAAGATGGTGCAAAATGCCCACTTCGAGTTACAATACTGTAGAAAATGGCATTTTAATTTAATGCAGGCGACAAGAGGATGAATTCACAAACAGCGAATCATTATATTGTTTCACCTTTGCTTTATTCAATGAGAGACTGTTGACCTTTTACGGTTTTTGGACCTGTTCCCCGAAGTATTACAAAATTATTGTAGTCTAACTAAAACACAAAGAAACCTAGCAGAGGCAGAAAACAAGCTTAACCGATGGTCGCAGAAAAATTTTCACAAAACAAACCTGGTCGGTCTCAACATCAAAGAACTGCTGATAAAACTCCATTGAGAAGAAATTAGATTTCCGTCCCGAAGCTGACACACTGTCGCCTGCATCGTGTACAAGCTAAAAGATTTAATTTGATGTTGGGCCCAGTAGCGCTTCTCTCTCTCTAAAAACACAGCGTATGAATTATGTTGTACGCTACTTTCAACCGGAGTTGCTGAAAAGGTATATGGCAACCATGGTATCCCAAAACCACTAAATAACTGGTTCCATACTGATAACAGAATCATAATCTGATGAGAGGGTAGATGAGTCATCTAATAGTTTGAGAATTATGCATATACCGCATACAAGTTGCTTAACAAAGTATATGGATATCACGAAAAAATTCGCTATAAGGAATACTTTCAAGTTCGGTGTCGTAACACCATCTTTCAAATCCTTGAACACTGGGAGCTAGGAAAACTTACAGTGAAAGAACTCGGGTCGTAGCAAAACTTCGAGAGGAAATGCTCAGCGTCAAATTTTAAATCCTATTTGAACACATATAGAGAATGCAGTGCCTCCTACCGTTGTAGGTTTACAGAACAATGATTTCAGCAAAAGAAGCTAATTCCAGACTTCATTATTTCCTGGTGCAGAGTAGATTCTATAGTACAGGTGGGTTATCTATCCTTCTTATATATAAAGCAGTAACTTGGTTNGTCGGTTTGTCGGTATGTCGGTTTGTCTGTATGTCGGTATGTCGGTTTGTCGGTCTGTCCGTCCGGGTTACTTTGTGATTATGATAAAGGTAGTGATATGGAAAACTTATTCTTCTTATATAAAAAGCAGTCACTTTGTGGGTAGGCTAATGGAGTAAAGTGAGCACTGCGGAGTGAAGTGAGTAATATGAAGTGAGGTGGATGATTCAAATTGTGATCTCTACTGTACTGTAATGGCAGTACTTCGACACTGGTGTCTATAGAAAGTAGTAGTGTATGGAAAAGCAGATACTGCTAGACGCGGGTATCCCGGAAGCTTCACTGGGCGAGGAAGGTGTGTGCTCTGTTCGTAACATTAACTTCTTCGCAACATTAACTTCTTATAGTGCGGAAAAATTGATCAGAACCTTGAAATATTTCTACAACACATGTAGTAAAGGAGAAATACAACCCTCCAAAAAAGATTTTCATTCGGCTGGATAAATCAGATACTTTGAAGCGTACCCGATTCTGATCCCCAATGCTTCCAGTGAATCCTTGTGCATTCGTAGAATTGATGGAGAAGCCATCTTGAAATGCTGCAAGAAACTCACCTAACTTTGAAATTTTAGTAAAATCTGCTATCGAAAGAGAAAATTGAAGTACGTATATATAAACTTACGCTGAAACTCGAGGTTAGCCATCTGTGCTAACCTAAATAAAACGTAGTTACGTCTGGAGAAGCACCAGCCAGTGGTGAATGAGCTAAGAGAAATGAATGGTTAGCGATATCGCCGAGTTGATAAAAACAACATTCAATATTCTCTATCAGATTATTTGAACTTTATTAACAAAACAAAGATATCACAAAGACTAAAAAACCAGAGAAATGATTCTTCAGCGGACACAAAATAGTACCAGCAATTTGAATAATGTAACAACATTTTTAAAATAAAAATCACTGAGACAGTACACATGAAATGAAAACGAACAATTCTTGAAGCAGATCATATTTCGTAACTTTGCAATCTTTCCGAAAGGGAACTCCACAGCGAAAGTCATCTGCGGCGATCACGCGATCTGCTCCTGTAAGCGTTACAATTCAACAAGAAATATGTAACGTTTTTGAATTGGAATCAAATGCATTCAAAAAACTTATTATACGGCTGTTGGAAGATGATTCGAAAAATTAATATGAAGTTTTTTATTTTTCATTAGTGTGCGTCGACCGACGCGCTTCCATAAAACCAGTTCTAGCCAGGGGTAAAAAGGGTCTGGCTGCAGAGTAACAATAAACTTATGCAAATTCAAACTAGAACCAAACGAGCATAACGGACAAAGAATCAACTTTCAGACAATCCTCTGCTTTACTTTGTTGCCCACTGCTTAATGTGAATATGTGATCTTTTTTATGGGGCTAATTCTTAGATACAATATTCACCCCTTCACCAGGTTGTCTTAAAGATGCTGCGAATTACAGTAAAAGGAGCCCTTACGTTTTAAAGAACAGCTTTGCATTCTGAAGGTCTTCGAGGTTCTATTTCAAGGAGTGTCGATCATAAGATTGTTTTGAAAGCACAGTTCACGCCTTATGATGAACCTATAACCACCAAGGGTAAAGTATGATGTCTTTGAGCGTTGATCGATTTCGTTTAATGAATGCGACCTCTCGCTCGATCTCCATTCAGAACCGAAGCGGTGCACTGAATGCCTGTGTAGCCCTGACAAAGACTTGCGGTGGCCAGTCGATGTTCAATTTAGTGGTTTTATTCTTCTAGATGATTCTGGTACCAAATAACCGACCCCTGCGGGATGGAAAGCTTGGTTGGCCTCGACGGATACCGATGCGGCTTACAAACCGCGACTTCGTGGCGGGTTAGTGTACTAGTTGTCACTACACCATTTCTGCCTACCCCAAAGGATAATACAACGTTCGCTGTCAGCTCGAAAAACGGAATGGAATGGGCGTAATCAGAGCCCTAAGACTGGCTTAGCCAGCGTAAGATGGACGAGTTCTTACGACGTTGCAGAGGCTGTAGAGGCTGCACCACTCGCAACGAACCTAGCCAGCTGTTCGCAATGGTACACACATTTGGACAGCCCGTCCAAATATCCCTTCCATGCAACTTTTGTCATCAAATTCTCATCCAACCCCTAATCTTACTAGTTTTTCGAGCCTGAAAGCGAAAGCTCTGAAAATTAAAGTACAGGAATTGCTGTTGATGGGCTCCACTTCAATCCGATCAAAAACTGCTGATGAAAACATTTTTTTGAACCGTATGACATAATGGCTCAGCAGCCTACCAGCTATGCCCTGTTTCCTGTAATTATGCTATACCTCCACGAATAATTACCCTAAACCGAAATATAAGCTTTTTTGTAGCAAGACAAAGCCTAAACGTCAAGCAACTCCTCAACTGAAACCAAAAATTTGTTCTTCATGGTTATACATTTTTTGGATTTAAGCTGCTATTATAGATTTCTGGAAGAAGAGTGCTATTACTAACCTTCTTCGGTCCCTGTTCTTATCACGAGAGCGACTGCGGCTCTTTTTTCGGTCTCGAGACCTAAAACTAGTACAATTAGATCCTAGAGCTGGGAGACGGCGATATCTTGGAAAAAGAACAGGAGTTACAGGATCTACCATACCTGCTTCTTCTACGATCCCTGATTCTGTCTCGCTCCCATGATTTGCTACATCTGCGATCAGAGTCCCTGTGCCTATCCCTTTCTCTTCCACGACTTCTTTTATCATCGTCCCTTTCGCGCGACCAGCTCCTTTTACGGCTTCGTTCACGCTCATTTCGATCCCTACAAAACCATTTGAAGTCACAAAGCGCGTGAAACGGTTTGTGTAGTAAAAAAAAATGATTTACATACAGATCTCTTTGATGTGACGATTTATACACTTTATCACGAGCACTGTCGGAGTCCTTGTCACCTTTTCTTTCATTATCGCTATCTTCACATGAACACTCTCCGCCGGAACAGGAACACGAGCAGCTAAACCGTCATAATAAAGGAACAAGATAGCTACGCAAACTACTCACGAAACAAGGATTAGACAGAGGAGAAGAAAAATAGAACGAGAAAAATGAACTCATGCATTTTTTGCTTCTAATCACTAGTTTATTTGAATTTTCTGGCAGTCGTTTCTAAGCACGACCCTTTCCATCACTCCAATCGGAAACAGGAATGTCGAATACGAGTCAATTGGTCGATTTGGTCAAGTGACTGCGATAGTATGAAATCTTCGGATAAGTAATGTGCATAAAAGCAAGTAGTTTCCTATCATAGTATTCCATGAGAATTGCCGGAACATCTCGGAGAAAAAGAGCTTTTCTACCGACACTTTTCGTTTCCGAACGGAGGTGGTGTTGTTCAAGTGGCTCACTATGGTTGCTTTCATACTCCAACGATTCGACCGACGTCCTCCGTCCGTCCATGTTGTCAACACCTGCCTGGCACCGCCGTCGCTCGCCCGCGGCGGTCAGAATTACAAACGCAACGAACGTACGCACGGACGTCCGTTGAATCGTTGAAGTCTGAAAGCAGCCTATCACACGCGCATGGTTCAGGGATTGAGGCATAAGGTGGGGCATAACACGAACGGAATTGATTATTCGAAGACTTCCTCCTTTATATTCCAAACACTGATTCCAAGACTGAGTGGTGCGGCCACTTTGCAAAGACGTGCCCCTAAAGCACTTCAGCACAGATGAGCATCCATCGAACGAAATTTCTTCGACACAGCATTTTCTATTTTCTCTGCCTCCAGATGTATAAAGACCGCCAAATCAAGATATCGACCCATAATTTTCATTCTTCGTGTTTGAGAAAACTGTATAAACAAACACCAAACATTAAATCATGCCTTCTATTCATATTGGACGATTAATAAACCGGGTGGATTGAACTAAAAGAACATGGACATAGATAACATTGATTCAAAAACTCACTCGCTTTCTACATCAGCTGGACGTGGAGGAGGACGTTTTATCTCAATCTTTATTTCAGCTATTTCAGGATCAGCAGTCAGGTCATACTTCTCCAAAACAGCCTCGTCTACTTCGTCGTCATCAGATTCCTCCTTCAAAAGGGAATAGAATGACGATTGTAATACAAGCGCTACAGCAGTCTTCGATGCAGTACGACGCATAAATTACTGACTAGAATCGAAATGCAGAAAACAACAAAATAGAGTAATAAGGGTTTATGGGCAACTGATCCAGAAAATTGCGATTTGTGGCACCTCATTTTTTGAGCTTTTAGGAAAGTGAGAGATTCAGGAAAAAAGAAAATCTTCTGACCCAGTGTTTAGATTCTATGCCAGGAAATCTACATAACAGGTAAATTAAGCACGTTGCTCATTACTCTCAGCCCTGCGATGCGTCGTAATGAAACGAGAAATACTATAGCCTGGGTATTAGCGGTTTTTAAATGCTATTATTGGTTCGCAGAAACTTGGTCTTACCTCTAACCCACCTCTTCCTCTGCATCGCTTCCCAGTTTGTATTTATCGATTTCGCCCTCTTCCTCCTCATCTTCATCATCCATCACCTCATCATCTATGACTTTTGATTCATTAACCTGATTCGCAGGAGCAGCGTTTTGCTAAAAAAAAAAGCGGATTACTACTTGACCTACAGTGGAGATAAACAGACAAAGCGCTCGTACATCATCCTTCTTTTTCCTCTTCCTACCGAATTCATCAAACTCATCCTCAGTATCCCGTCTGATATATTCAATATCTTGCCGATCATTGAAACCACCACCGTAGCCTGAACGACTCCCAATATTATCATAAAATTCATGTCATTAAATGTGCATGCAAGTAAGCGATGCAAGGCAGCGATTAATCTTAGAGGCTGGAAAAACATAGAATTATAGCAGTTGCAATGCTAGAATCCAGCAAACAAATCGTTAAGCATGAAACCAGTTCTGCAGAAACTATGAATATGGTTGCTTGCAACTTGAAAAAAGTGAAATCAGATGAACCAAAAAACGAAAGAGCAATTCGACAAACCTGTTCTTTTCTCAAGATCGGCTAATTTAGGGGCGTTGCAAACATTACACGTTTTTCGTCTAGCCCAGTTGACATTGCCACACCTAAAGTTAATAGCTGACTATACAGCTTTCAACGGAGCACAGCTAGAGATTAAACTCACTTTGAACACACCCAATCTTCTGCAGCAAAAAGTCCTTTGGATTTGTCCGCCATTTCCTTGCCGATCTCCTTACCAACTCGATTTTTTGAACGGGGTTTCTCTGTAAAATTAAGTCTTTCCAATCTTATATGAGCCCTCATACTCGTTGTAACTCAACTTTATCCATTTATAATAATACATAATAAGTTCATCAGCTGCAAACCCGAGTCTACAGAATAGTAGAAATAACAATCTTGGAAAATCCTCAAGAATAACTTTATGAAAAGGTTTTTTTTTTCTAAATAACTGAGATCATACTATAGGTATACAAAAAGAAAGCTGCGATACTATCTAAATCAAAGATGGCGGAGCAGGTGTTTTCGGGGAAAAAAACTTCGATAATCTTTGAACATGTAGTGTGTTCAAGGCAAAAATAGTTTATTTGTATTCACTTCTTACTTTATTGCCGTTATATGTACCTTCAACGAAGATATTCGGCACGATTTAACCTAGACACACTTGATATCAATAATAAACCACTCTGCGTAAGCCCACATATAAACAACCCGAAGACAGATAATTTCCGAGCCCAAAAGGGAAATGTGTTGAGTAGAAAACACATAGAAATAGGGAGACAGTCATGAGTGAACTCTTCGCTGTAGTTGCCAGAGTGACCTTACTGGGCCCTAGTTTCGGTTTCTAGGTAATGCGCGACCACGTATAAAATACGAAGGGATTTCGCGACCTGTCCAGAGTGGAACTAAAAACCCTGACCACCACTGAATACTTCCCTCTCAGAAAACGTCAACTCCGCGGGAAATCACCAGTAAAGCTGAGACAAGAAAAAAATTATAAGTCAATTTTCTTTCTCATCTCAACATTACTTTGAGAATCTGGGTGAAATCTTGGAATGCGTGTTCTGTTATTCAAACGAGAAAGGCACAGGTGACCATAGATCTGAATTCTATCACGGAAAGTTAATGAATCGCACACAAATCGCATGGTCAGTCGCATTGCATCGCACGGTTCATGACACCGAAAAGCCGTAAAACAACTTTTAGTTTAGCTGGGAAGGACCGTCAGAAGATTCAGAATATGTTGCAACTTACGTCTTCCGCAGGTTTCGCAGGCATTTTTGAATTCAGGGTTTACATGAGCACATTTAGGATCCGGGCAAGCCCACTCTCCTTCTTTGAGTAGCCGTAATCGGCGAGTTTCTTTCTCCTGTGCAGTTTCTCCTTCATGACGTGTCCCCATGGCCGTGGACGAAGCTGCAAAAAGTCGATTATCGAAGACTTTCACTTCACACGCTTTAAATATAATTAGAATACGAATTTCGCAACAAAGACGGGTATAAGGTCCAGTAAGTTTTCTATGTTATCCTATTCCTACAAATAGGGTAAGCGTAAGAAGAAACGCATTATAAACCCATTCTGTCAACAGTCAACCTCACCTCACTTATTATTTTACAAGTACTAAAGTCGGGAATTAGAAATTTACCGAATTCGAAATTGAACACGATGAGTGTGACTCTATCACCCAGATTATTATCCCCAAATACCTCATAGAGGACAAGACCATAGAAACATTAGCTGATTGGAGCTATGGTCAAGCTTGAGCCTAGTTTGAGCAAATAGATCGATAGAGTATTATCCTTCTTATATATAAAGCAGTAACTTGGTTTGTCGGTTTGTCGGTATGTCGGTTTGTCTGTATGTCGGTATGTCGGTATGTCGGT